ACATCAATAGAGCCTGCCTGATTAACTGTAGCACAGCATATGTACGCTGAAGATGAGAATGATTTCCCCAAGGAGCCTGTACTTTCTCTGCTGAACTACATTTCTTAAAAGGACATGCAGATAGGCATTGGGCAATCATTTCTGGACGAACAGAATGGATTGCTGTTGCTGAGCTGTAATTCTGCAAAGATAATTTTAATGACTCTTGAGGGCCACCTACCTGGAACAGATGGGACCAGGCTTTTGTTTCACAACTCTAATGTTGCTAAGATAGAATGCTATTTTAGCCTTTGTTAAGAGTAGATGATCTGATCTGTATTTCAACTGAGTCTGCCATGAAAAGTCTTCTATAACAGTCTTAGAAGTTCCGTGGTAAAACACATCTGCGATATTCTAAACACATGTTTTAATTTTTTTTTTTTGGCACTGGTGATAGAACACAGGATCCTGTGCTTGTGAGGCAGGCGGTGGAAGCACCAAGCTAAATCCCCGGCCCCCAAACACACTTGTGATGGCAGTTTTGAATTTGGGATTGAGATAGAGCCGAAAGTTTTTACTTTTGGACAATGATTTCAATATGTGATTGACAGCACATATTGTTCAGTCAGATGGCAGCACTAGCAAATGGTAGAGGTAGCAGAGCTATGCTTGCCTTGGTAATCAAAGGGCACAGTCATCTGTATAAATGTAGCTAGAGACAGTCATTTGAGAATGAAAACTAATTTGTTCTTTGATGATAGTAAGGCTGACTGTTCAAGTATATCTTAAAAACCTTCATAACAACTATCCCCAAGAAGTATTTTTCTTTCTTTCTCTCTTTCTTATACTGGGGATTGAACTCAGGACCTTGCACTTGTGAGGCAGGTATGGTGCTACTGAACTAAACCCTTGGCCCTACTTTTTTTGGTGCTGTTTTTTTGGTACCGGGGATCAAACACAGGTCCTTGAACTTGCGAGGCAGGTGACGGAACCACTGAGCTAAATCCCTGGTCCTTGGCCTTACTTTTATTTCTTGAATGTTATAGAAAACTATGAAAGTAATATAGGTCTCTCTGGGTGGCGATGATATATCATAATGCATTTTACTAGCTTGCAAATAAATAAAAGGAAAGGAAGATGTGGCAGTTCTTAGGCAGCAACTCGCCTGAACTGTGCCTGATAGTAAACGGGGCAGCCAAATCATTTTTGTGAACATTTTGACCTATAGCCTGTTATACTTCAAGACAAGTCATAGCAGAAGTTTCAGGAAAGAAACTATGTGAAAGATGTATGAATCTGGGGGGCAAATCGTGAGTCTCCTATAACTGTTCAGGATGAGTAATATTTTTTAATAAATTAGATTTGATGATCTTTTAACTGATAACACTTTAAAGATTTCTTTTAAAATTAATTTCCACAACCAGATTTCTTTCAGATTCTGTGACAGTGAGAAAGACACATCTATAAGATGTCTTATTTTTTAGCAAAAATGGCGGAATGTTAGATTCCAAGCAGACAACTGCTTTATAACTTTCCTCACCAAGAGACTTGAGATTTTTCAGAGAAGAGCTTTAACAGGTAATAATAAAGATGCACTGATGTGAACAGCTTAAAAAGATTACTCATATAGAATAAATATTAAATTTTCCTGGTAGGTCTAGAGGATGTATTATGTCATATTTCATAAAATACATGAACAAAACATGAAGACAATATATTAAAAAAGAGTCCTTCCATTTTTTCCAATACATACACTGTTCATTTAGAAGATTTTTAAAGGGTACCTAGAAATATAAGCAGCTTCATGTGGACCGAATATCCTTTCTATTGTGTACATACAGATGAGTGTGAGATAGCAATTCAAAACCATTAGTTTAATAATGTAGAGGTGAGTTTATAGTATAATCCAGAAATATATTCTATCAGGAAAAAATAGAAAATGAAATAACTAAACTGCTGAGTGCTAAAAATACCACCAATTGAAAGCAATGCCACCAGGAAAGTTGGGAGAAAGCACTAAAATGGGCCTTGCAATCTTTTGTTTGTGTATTTGTCCTTTGCAGGCTTCCATACACCTAGTCGGAGAAGAGATCTCGAATCTCCCTAGGAAATCTGAATCTGACAGTCCTTATACATTGTGTGCAAATATGAATGATCTTGGGGGCCATGATGTTCCAATCTGGACTGTTATATAAGACAGATTGCACGGCCTTGTACATATGATACATAGAATTATGGGAAAATTTGACAGCACTATATTCCTAGAGTGAAAATTAAATGAGAAGAAGAATAAAATATTAATAAAAAGCTAATTATTTCAAGTTGGAAACCAGGTATATATAGAAGCCATGTTTGGAATAATGCATTAAATACAACACAGAAACAACAAGACTAGCTTGTTTCTCTTTCTTTCAGATGCTGCAGTCATGTGAAAGGCACTTTGTTTCAATAGCTTTCCTACAATAGTCTAGGGAATAAAATATATACTAAGCAAAGGGTAAGATGAGAGCATATGCAAAAAATTCCTACTTTTGTGCCTCTCACTAAGATCTCAGATGTGAATTGAATTAATTATTAGCAACTTAAGTTACAAGGCCAACAATCACTGAAAGCTTATTTTTAATTAGCTTTTGCTAGTGAAAGTGTGCTTTTCTTCTTTCCTAATAACATGATTCTGTTTTCCCTAGTTTATATGCTACTGTATTTATCTCTTTTTCCCTTTAAGAATTTTCACTAGTCTAACATCAAATAAAGTCTTTTTTATTACAAGTTAAAAGCTTCAAGCAGAGTAGCTAATATAATATTGCTCATTTTCTCACCATTATTCATAACATAACATAACATTATGTTTTCCTTAACTACCCTAAAGTATAACATCCTAAAATAATTCATTAATGGTAAGGATGCTTCAGTGAACTAAACCAATTTTTCTTTAAAGACTATATGTAAATATCGGAAACATATTTTCAATTTCCCTTGATTTATACAATCAATAAATAGAAGTTATCTTATAGGTAAAGAAATGAGCCAAACCACAAGAAAAACAAAAAACAAAAAAAGAAGAAAGCCAATTTTGTAGAGAACATTACAAATCCTAGAACTTGTTTAAATATACCTTGGCGTTTTTGTTTGCTTTATTGTGTATTTTGGTCGGTGTCTTGCTGGATTTTCTAAAAGCAAACCCCAAAGCTTGACAAGGCTTCTGTCTGTCTCCTTGGCTACCACTCTTAGCTCCAAGTAAATGCGGCCCAGGCAAGTGTTTGCAACAACACGGTTCCATCATGGGCTCTAGCCATTACTACTGGCCATGCTGACGGTCACAGTATAGGGGTGGGCATGTTGCTCGGTATGGGGCAGTGAGAACGTGGGAAGTGCATGACGAATATACTTCATATGGCTGGTAATGAATACGTGTCTGCAGAACAAATGCCGAAGGGGGTCGGGAGCAGCTAGCAGCAAAAGAAAGTACATAAAGTGATAGCAAGTTATAATAGTTAGAGCCGGTATTCTTCATTTCTCCATGGCGTTCTACTGCTTCCTCTCAAGGATTATCGTTCACATAGGTGGAACAGCTAAGCTCCTCATGTGTTATTATTTAAGGTGCAAATTCTGCATTAATCCCTAGTTTCCCAGAGAACTGTAATTTCCTACGTGTATGCAATCTCCATAATCAGAGTAAGTTTTCTGAGGTAGGAAAGGTGTGCACATGAGAAAAAGATAAGACTCTGCCATTAATAAAATGATATGAATTAATTGATCTGATTAATTTATATTGTAGAAGAATTGATGGCTGGGGTAGGGACACTACTAGATGCTGAAGATAAATGTCAATGTTACAATATCTACAAATTAATGTTTTTCAGGGCAGATGGGACAAAGGAATCTAAAAGCAACATTTCAAATGCTAGTATCAAACGCACTACTGAGTATAAAAGGGTTTGCAGCAGGTTTATGTTTTGTATCGCTAATTATTTCATGCAGAAATAAGGATACTATAAAAAAGGATACTCCGTGTACTATGCTGAAAAAACTCATTAAAAGTTGCAAAAACCCATAATTACTGCCTGAAGAATCCCACCATGGTCTCAACAGCCTTGAGAGTAGGAGTTATGGACCGAATCCACATCCCATTGTCCAAAGGAGATGCTTTATTAGCTAGCTATTAAGCAAAGTTTTGTAAACATATATGAAAAATTTTATAGCTGCATAATTAACATGTAAAGTGTTTTATCTATTTTTACTAAACCTAAACTTGACTGCATTCTGTTTTAAAATTTTTTTCCAGCGAATACGAATGGTCATCATAATAAATACAGCTAAAAAATTTCACACATAAACTCATTTCATATGGGGAAAAAGTAATCATAAATGTTTTAAGTAAATATTATCAAACTATATTCAGTTTGATTTTTAACAAGTTTTAAAATTTTTTGTACAAATTTATTAATTTATAACATATTTGCATTCTAAATAATTCTAAACAGAAAACCTCCTGTAAGGCAAGTCCCAGCACTAATTCACGATTCACTATCCAAACTTTAATTGGCACGGCTCTCAAAATTCTGGGACCATATGGATAATAATGAGTCCTAATAGGTCCAAGGTGAAAAGACGGCAGGGGAGTAAGGAAGCCAGAAAACTGTCAGCTCAGAATGCCCAGCGACTGCACAGCAGTTCCCCAGAGGTCTGAAACCGTGTGTTTCCAGTGGTTTACTGGCCTTGCTATCTTACAACTGAATTGTATATTATTTTTTTCATTCTGTGAGACAAAGAGTAAAATGAAAAAAGTTAAGAATGAAAACAAGCCCCCGCCTTGTTTCCATAATGAACAATGAAACTGGCCGTTGATAATGAAAAAGCAGCAAGCTGGAGTCACCGTAACAACCCGATGAAACTACCCACTGACGTAGCAGTCTGCGCAGTTTTATAAATGGCGGTTGATTTCCCCGTTTTCATTTCAGCCAGTGTCAGTCAGGGCTCAGTGGAGCTAATGGAAGAACTATGCTCTGCGACTACTGTACCTCTTCACTGCTGTCACCGCCACGGAAATCATCTTCCAGATGAGTGTCCGTCCTTGTTGTGCTGCTGTCTCCCTTTAGACCCAGGACAGACGTGCACCCCTCCGGGGACATGTTCTGCGTCTTCCCGTGGGGTGCCGACCGCGGTCTCGAGGAGAAAGTGAAGATGTCCTTGGGAGTAGCCTGTGTCCGCTCCGCTCGAGGGCCCTGGGCACTGTCCTCGCTGGTGTCCGGCCACAGGTGCGAGGAGACGCAGGCCTCATCACCCGGAAGCAGAGAGCAGAGAGCGTGGTCGCAGTCAGGAAACACCCAGGCGTCTGGCATTCGGGAAAGACGCACACATTAGAGCAGTGTTCCATCAGTGACACCCTGGGCGGGTAGTTAGCTTAAAATTTCTCCTTATTGAAACAGCAATTTATCAAATAAGGCAGAAGCCAAGGAAGGCAGTTTATCCACCATCTTGGAACCTGGTAAACATTTAACTCCTAGATCAGTGTCTGTAGCTACAGGAGGCTCATTCACACTTCTCTGCTTGAGTTGAAATGCTGACCAGGAAACTTGTAAGTCTGAAGTAGTTAACACCTGTCTTGTCTCAAGTTTTTTTTTTCTCATTGAGTTTATTGGTACATTTTAGGTATACAGTACAGTTACATTCATTACTGGGATCCTGTACTTTTACATGACAGGTCTTGGTTCTCATTTTTTCCCCTTGTCCCTACCCACCCTCCCTTCACCCCCTCCTCCCTTTTTACAAATACTTTATTTTCATTTTCTAATTTTTTTTCCTTTCCTGTATTACCTTTCCCTTAACCTTCCCATTTCCCCTACACTTTCAGCCCTTTTCTTCCTATTTCACATTATCATTAGGATCTTATGTACCATTATAATTTTTCACACCAGAGAAACTATTTGGTATTTATACATGTGTGACTTATTTATTTCACTTAGGAGTATATCCTCAATATGTATCCATTTTCCTATGAATGACTCTAATCTCTCATTCTTTATGGCTGCGTAGTATTCCATTTTAATAGAAAAACCATATCTTCTTTATCCAATCTCCAACTGATAGGCAAATGGGCTGTTTCCAAGTTTTAGCTATTACACACTAGGCCTCTATAAACATAGGTGTGCATATATCACTGTGATATGATTCTTTTAATTCTTTTGGAAAGATACCCAGCAGAGGGATGGCTGGGTCAAATGGAACCTCTAGTCCCAGCTCTTTGAGGTATCTCCATATTGATTTCCATAGTGGTTGCACCAGTGTGCACTCCCACCAACAATGACTAGGATCTCATCTTATTAAAAAGCTTCTGTACTACAAAAGAAACCATCAATAGGACTAAAAGACAACCTAAAATGTGGGAAAAAATTTTTACCGGCTGCTCCTTAGACAAAGGACTATTATCTAGACTATATAAAGAACTACAAAAAAAAACCCAGCCCCCCCAAGTATAAAGATCTGATTCAAAAATGGGCATCTGAAATGAACAGACATTTCTCAGACAAAGAAGTAAAAACAGCAAGTAAATATATGAAAAAATGTTCCACATCACTGGTCATTCAAGAGATGCAGATGAAAACAACACTGAGATTCCACCTCAACCCACAGAGAATGGCTGCTGTCAAGAAATCAAACAATAACAAATGTTGGCAGGGTTGTGGGGAGAAAGGAACCCTTCGCCTCAAGTTCTTTGTAACACAGCCTTCCTCAATGTGACATTCTGGAAGGAAAAAAAAAAAACTCTTCCGAATTTGAAAGGGGTTGAGTTACCAAAGTTTTCTTTTAACTGGAGGAAGGCAGAACAGAATTTAACAACCTTCTTCAACAAAATTCTGGTCACTAATTGGGTTACAGATCATGGAAGACAGGAAAACATGGACGGCTCTCAATCTGTTATTTCTTTCCATTCTTCTGACTGAAACAGGGCAATTCATAGACTAAACTGAGTAGGTGCTTTGGATAATAGCAGATTCACAGAAGCATTAATCTGTGTAGTGAATTCTGCTCACTAAATGCACCTTTACCTTTAATTTTAGGAGAGAATATTTTAACATTAAACCTTTTACACATCATTTATTTTCTTTAAATAGTGTATGCATACTACAGCTGAGATATTATTTCTAATCTTTAATAAACTATAATCTTTTACACTACATTGAGACTCCTTAACTGTGATCTGCACAATTTGGAAAGACAAATCTATATGATAAATATTAGTGAAATATGCTTACTTTCTTGTTTAGAATGAGATCAGGAAAAACTTCAACATTTTCTCAATTTACTCTATTTTTCTTAAAATTTACTTTTTTTTTGCTATATTGTTTTAGTGGTAAATATCTTGCAAAAATGTGTTGTGTAGAACCACAATATGGATATGGTAATTTATAGCTGACTCCTGAATCCTACTGTATTTATAATCATGATAAAAGAAAACAAGACAATCTAAGATTTGCCAACCTTAGAACCTACACTGTACAAACAAAGCAAAAACAAAAAACTTTGGTAAAAATAACATTAATGGCCAAGTATGGGTGACTCATGCCTGTAATCCTAGTGCTTTGGGAGGCTGAGGCAGGAGGATCTTAAATTCCTGGGCAACTTAGTGACTGAATTAGAACTTATCTCAAAATAAATTTAAGAAAAAGCGGGGGCTTGTAATGTAGTTCAGTATGGGGTCCTTCAGATCTATTCCCAGTACTCAACGCAGAACAAAAACCAAAAACAAACACTGATGGCACAAATACAAAATATTTCACAGTTGTATTCATTGGTTTCTTAACCTGGGGCTTTCAATTTATTTTGTGGCTGGGCTGGTAAAAAGGGTGATAGATGTACACTTCTTAGAGCAAATCTGTTAGGAACAGTTTTCCTATTTTCAGGTCAGGATCTGTAGGAATCTGGCCAGTGGCTAAATCTGACTCATCTGCCCACTCTCTGGGGTGCAGATGGTCCTGAGGCAGGGCAGGAGAAATGCACAGGTTTGCTGGGCACTCTGGATAACATACCCTTCTGCACGGTTCTAGGAGCACAGTGGGTACAGAGTATGTGGCCTAAAAATGCTGAAAAAAGACTGCAAAAACAGTGTGTTGTGGTAGGTACATAGAAATGCGAAGGAAACTGGAGAAGGTACTGGAAATCTCCAGTATGTAGTTAAACAATTTGTGACCTATTGCCAAACATATTGGTAAGTGTCCACAAGTCAGAGTCAAAGGAGTGTTTTACACAAAACTACTACCGTACTACCACATGATTTTGTGGAATTTGTACTTTGTCCTCCGGTATTTCCATATCAATTGTAATGAATAATTTGGTGCATTTTCTTAGGAAAATATGTAAATTACTGGGTAATCACAATATTTCAGCAAACAAGATAAATGCAAGAACGATCACCTAAACATCTAATTAGTTTTTCTACACACTTAGATTTATGCTAGAGACACTAATTGCGCCTAACATTTTAATGAAGGTTTCAACGTTGCATAAATAAGACTGACAAACTACAAACAATTTTCATTTATTTTCCCCTCTCCTTTGCTTGGAACCAATCTGCCTTTGTAAAAGTGGCGCACACCTGCTAGGGAAGATGGGCTGATGGACTCAGTGCTTGGGCTCCAGTCAACTCCATTTCTGAAGAGGCCCAAAGAAAGGCAGCAACAGATGGTCTTTGGGGCAGGGGGTGACAGCGTCACCGGGATACACCTCAGAGTTTTAAACTTTCATTCCAATGGGACAACAGCGGCATTAAAACCTGAAATACTCTTCATCCATTCGAGCCTTACGTAAGATGAAGGTTAACAAAGGAGATTCCTAAAAAATTATAAAAGTTTAGCAGATGTCTGCTTCCCAGCTTTTCAAAACGACGGGATTTTAAATATTTGGCATAGTTCTATTTTACTATTAGTAAAGACACCAACCTGCTAGGTGTCCTGCAGCGCTGCAGTTCAACATCTCTTCTCCTTGTTGGGTCACAGTGGGGAGGACAGTTGTTGCTTCATCTTCATTCTTCTTGTTTCCTGAAGAACTGCCTTTATTGGAAAATAAACAGTTCCCATTCCATTACTACTTTGGGTATTTAGAAAATGTTATTTTTTAAAGAAGGTATTAATTTGGTATTATTTCTGTACTTGATTCTTGAAAAGCAAATGAGAGATGACAATTTAGATTATACGTAGTTTTATTTTTTCTGGCAGAATGTTTTAAGATGAACTCAGCTGCATTTCTGTAGAGGTTTATCTTGACTTTTTTTGATATTTGCATAGGGATATTTTAGGGTTACATTTTAAAATACAGGATAAGAAGAATCCCCAAGACCATGTAATTTTTAAGGTATCTTTTATTTTTTCCCTTGGATTCCATGTAAGATTAAAAAATTATAATCCATACTAAACAAATCTTTTAAAGTCAAGTTCTTTCTTTCAGCTGCTTAAGAAAATGGATGTAGGCAGTATCACAGAATTAATTTAACTATTTACTCTTTTACAAAGCTAACTTGAAACCTAGCAGGCTGAATTTCGGCGAAGTCATAAACCTTAAGAGTTTTGAGAAGCTGTTCTAGATCACACATATGTGATACCCTTTGGGCTGGATTCAGGATAGACTAATATATGTATGTGCAGACCTATGTATTTATGCCTTAAATCCAGTATTTAAAGGAATAACTGTATTAGGCACCTGCATCTATCTTATGCTTAACAGATTGCAAAGAGTTTACTTTTAACTATATTATAAGGCAAATAATCCAAACGGAGAGATAGAAAATGTAACAAGCAATCTGAAAAGAGCCCATCTTAAAAAGAAAAGACATAAATTAAATCTGAAAACTTATACTAGAGTTCAATTTTAGTAAAGTCTATGGGCCAAAATTTCCTCTACCACATCTGGGCCATTAAAAACAAAGAAACAAACAGTAATTTAAGCTTATTCAGCCTTTTAGAGTAAAAGTAGAAGTTCTTTATTTCTGTAGTGCTATCTATTTAATCCAGCAGATCTCTGCTAGGGCTCTAGAGCAATTCTTTTGTACGAAATTTGATTTCCATAATCCCTGTAGAACAGACATTTATATTTTAAATGAATTGGCTCATAATCCTTTGAAATTCACAACCTGCAGAGAGATTCCATTGCCCTGAATAGCATACAGATCTCAGATAATACTGAAATAGTGCCATACCGCCGGGTGTCTCTGCCCTTTCTCTGCTGGCGCTTTTTAACCGAAATCTTCTTCTGTTGTTATTCTTATCTGCTGAAGGTTCTTGAGGGGGATGTGGACGCATAATAGGTGGGTCAGCTGGTACGGCTTCACACCAAAGAAAAGCCAGATCAGAAAGTACTGTACCACTCGAAATAATTTAGTAAATACAATTATCACTACAGTGAGAATATTCATGCATCATTTTGACATATCGAAAACCTATTCCTTTCCAGAAAACAGGTGTTTATTCTTATTGTAATATCAGGTTCATTTAAGACTTTCAGAATTACTGATAAATCCTATCCATGCAATTTATAGAGAGCTGCAAGTAATTTAAGAGCTGTTATCATGCCACATGGTATAGTAAAAATACAAAAAATGACATTTGACAGTTGGTGCACAAAAATTACTTCTTTTACAAGTGCGCTTTCAATGAAGAACTCTTGAGAATTGAGGTCAAACGAGATTTCTCAGGTATAATTTAATCTGTAACAATTCTACTGCTCGCAACATTTCATGTCCTACATGCTGCATTTCTTGATGTAATGTGATACACATACCTGTTTTCCTCACTGAACCCCCTCACAGTGACGCTCTGAGGCAGCCAGTGCTTGTTATTATAACTAGTGCCAGAAGAGATGGTATCCCCACATTAACCAGGAAACCGAGGCTCACGGGGGTAAGATCGAGGCCTTCCTGGGCCAGATATGCTGGGGCCACCTATCTATGTCATTTGGGTCTTTATGGCACATTTTCCTTCATGGGAGAACACTGTCTCAAAGAGCCACCACCATTTCTAAGTCAAGTAAAATGAATGCAAATGCCCTCTCTTCAACCCTTATGAGTCAGTCTAGTAAGGTGGGAACACTAACAGGGAGTGTGAACACTTGGGTTCTGGCCTGTCTTTTCTCATGATTTTGCAAGCCACTCTTCTCCGTTAGGCTCAAATTCTCCATCTGAGAAATGGAACAGAAGTCCTTTCTTTCCTTCCCCTTAGAGGAGTTTTTATACCAATGAGAGAAGATAAAGAGCACATTACAAATCAAAGCAATTCAGCCGGGCGTGGTGGCTCATGCCTGTAATCCCAGCACTCGGGAGGCTGAGGCAGGAGGATCACTGTGAGTTCGAAACCAGCCTGGGCTACATAGCGAGTTCCAGGTCAGTCTCAACTACATAGTGAGACCCTGTCTCAAAAAACCAAAAAGAAAAAAAACACCCCAAAAACCCACCAAAAAAACAAAAACAAAACAAAAACAAAAACAGACCTGTTTCAATATCCACCACTCTTCATTTTTACTGAATAGTAATTCTCTGGACTTATGATATAGTCATGAATGCAACTTTTGATTTATCTTAACAAGAACATTTCTCACGATTTTTACTCGCTCTCCATCCTTCTGCATGACTCTTACCGTGAATAGGTACAATCTGCTTTACTCGGTGAATATTTTCTTTATCTCTCTGCTCCTCGTTCTCAGACATCAGCAAGGCTGACATTTCTGTGCTGTTAACACACTTCTCCACTGTGGGCTGCTGGCAGTATCGGCTATTTTTGGACCCAACGGATCTTACTGTCTATAAGGAAAATAAATCAATCTGCATATTAAAGAATTTAAAAGTTACATTTATTTCCTATAGAATCCTCATAGGAAAAAATATTTGAACAATGAGAAAAAAGAAAACTAGAGAAACAGAGTATAAAATGATGGAAAGGGAAATACTGTGATTAAAATGGAAGGAGAAAAATAATGTGAGACAAAATATTAGGAAAGCAAGTTTCCGAGATGGTGAAGTGTGCTTATTTGCTACACTCCATCCTCAGTAGGTAGGAAATAAATTAAGAATAATTGTGTATTCAGAATTTCAGAGAAAATTAAAAATAAAGACCAGCGTTTTAGAATGTGTTCATGTGTGGTGTCTGGTCATGATCCGATGCCTCGTTTTGAAGAGGGCAAAATGTGCTCATCAATATTTGCCTAAAATTCCCCTCCCACCCTCCATGCTTGGATGAACTCTCTAAGCTGCTCCTACCTCAGTGGACAGCCTCAGGTGATCCCTTCTGCCAGAGAGCGGAGGTGGGCCAAGGACTCTAGACCCAAAGGCGATGTGACAGACATCGTGACTTTTACTGCTCCGGACACTACCTGCTCCTCTGTTAATGAACTGATCTGTTTGTTAAAGTAAAGTAGTAACTGTTAGTGGGCATGTTGACAAATACTGTTACGATATTCCTCAAAGTCTAGGTGTCTCATGATGTGAGTCACCTCCTCCCCCTCTGTTTTTTTGTTTTGTTTTTTGTTTTTTTTTTGACGCAGGATCTCAAGTTGACCAGGTTGGCTTTGAACTTGGCAATCCTCCTGCCTCATCCTCCAAATCAGCTGAGATTACAAACTTGAGTCACCACTCCCTTTAACATTTATTAAAATGCAAGTGCTCTATCAGATCTGTATTTCTTATTTTTGAGATATAGGAGGAGACAGAATAGTTTTTAACAAGGCCCTTCTAGTAATTTTTACTCTATCATTTGAGAACCACTACTTGAAATATTTTTCTTCAAAAAAAGAAAAGGGAAAAAAAGGAGAAGGTATTTAAAATGCATCTTACTTTCCCCAGTATCCCCAGGTGTCTGCACCAAATCCTACCATTCTGGGCACAGAGCCAGACTACATCTCTGAGACTTCCTGGAAGTGACACAGGGCATGTGAGTGACGTTGGGTTACCAGAATATAAGAAGTGTAAGCTATTTTCTGGCCTCTAAAGTCTCCTACATAATCAGTCCCCTGTGTACTCTTTCCTCACCTCTTGACAAGCCCCAGCAGATCCTGCGGCTCAGCCTTCTGGACTGACACAGCCGCCAAGGGGGAAGGTCCTCAACTCAAAAACCCTACTACGACTTGGAAATCTGCTATGCCCCACCTGCAAGGCAGGACCCCCTGAATACTGGAGAAGCCCCGCTGAGCTCCTACCTGCCCGCTTCCCACCTGAAGCTAGTCCTGTGGCTGGTGCTTGGTCTCCCGTGCCTCTGCTACACAGAGTAACTCTACACAGGTCAGAATTTAAAAGCACTCCTACACAGGAAAGGAAGAAAAGGCACACAGGTTTGTGAAAGTTGCCTTGCTCAGAAAACTTCTGACATTTAGGCCTGAGTAGAGATGATGAGTGCGGACGTACGATGGTTTTCTGGAGGTCTGCTTCTGTGCTCTCACTGATAATGAAGATGAAGGTGTGGGCAGGGGTTAGATGGCTGAATTGAGCAGGAAGTTTTCATGGACAGAGCCTGAGGGGACACCAGTGTTTTCAAATTCCTGAAGACCCACGAGATAGAAGAGAGATCCCATTTGTCTAAAAGACAGAATCAGGACTCACATGTAGAATTTGTTTGGAAAACTTTTAGTCCAAGTAAGGAACCTGTCCCTAATTAAAGCATGCCTGGTCGTTGAGGGGGTGAACCTTTAGGCACGTCGAAGGTGTGCAAGCAGAAGTTTGGGCAGCTATTCTAGATTCAGACCTCAGATGACTCCCTAATTTCTCTCTCTGCCCAGTCCTGTTCTGAGCGCCATTGCTTAAATCAGTAGCTCCACCCGCGCTTCTTCAGGGTCTCAGAGACACCGGAAACCTGGCTGATGAATGAGCCGTCAGAACCTTGGCAGAAGGGTGACACCTCTGCCCTCTCCACGCTCCGTCCATGTCTGCTTCTCCCTCTGACCTCCTCCACCAGCACCAACATCCAGGTGACGCCGCCTCCCAAGTGTTCCTTGGGTCTGCTCTGCTGTCTGGCCCTATGCTTTCTCTAAAACACAGCCAGAGAGGTCTGACACAGACGTAAGTCTAGTGGAACCATTTCCCTTCCTTCACTTTCAGTCCTTAGGATCAAGGAGCATGTCCTTCACTTTCCCTGTATGCACCTGTTCTGACAAAGCTTCCTGTCCTACTCGCCTCATTTTCTTTCATCCTTTCTTGATGTTTCTGTTTCTTCTGTCTGTGTTTCTCCGAACAGATTAGCCCTTTAGGTTCTTTTGGCTGCAGCAGCAACTCTGCCGTCCCATGGCCAAAAGCTCTTGCTTTCTCTTTCGGCCTTTGTGTCAGACATGTCTTCCGGATCTTCCTCCCTGGGGCAAATTCCCCAACTTGGGCGGTTCCATGGACTTTCCTCTCAGGACCTGTCCGCAGTGTACTTTGACCAGCGACTGAAGTGTACTGTGGCGGAGCTATAGACGCAGTGGCTTAGTCACCCAGAAATGCCAAAACTGGCCTAGTGCTTGACACAGAGTAGGCACATATTAGATTTTTGCCGAGCAAAATGAATGAGTGGTTAAGTGAAAGGGGTGCAAAGGAAAGCCGTAATATTAACTCAAATATGTCTAACTTTTGTAAGACTCATTTGAAGAAAAATCTAGCAGCGTGTTTTAGGTGTAAACAAGAAGGCAGGCTGGAAAGGCCCAGGCAACTCCAGGAGGTGGGGGTCAGGGTGGACAGCCTGTCTGAAGAGCAGACAGTGCCCTGGGGTCACCGTCAGAGGCTGTTCAGGCCACGACTGGAGTGTCCTAGGTGCCCAACCGACGGCCGTGTGTGCAGCTATTTGTTCCTATCCACTCATAAACATCTATTTGGATAAACTTTTTTTTTTTTTTAAAGTTTCTCAAGATTCACAGAAAGAAATGATGCTCAAACTGAAGACCACATGGCAAAATCTTTGCTAGGCACCATTTTTTTGTGATCACACAAATTCTAGATTATTTGTCTTATTCTGTCTTATTCTCTTTCCCAGAAAGAGAAGACTGCTGAGGGTGCAGAACGGTTGCACGGGACACAGTGCAGGCTAGAGCAGGGCTCTGTACCAGCACAGAAGCAGCTCCTGCTCTGAATTCTGGGAACCACGCAGCTATGGATCTTTTGGTTCACATATTTTACAAGGACAACTTCCTCTCCTTGTTTCTGTGCATTCTTCATCTAAATGCAGATTCCTCCCAATAAATTGAAATTCTTTTGAGTGAAAGACCATTTCTTTGGTCTTCTGTGTACCCCCCGACTGCTAAACCCTGCTTGGCACATGGTAGGCAAGGGTTAAAATCTCACTCAGATTATGGATACTGTGCAAGATTAAAAAGAAGACTTTGAAGGGAGAATTTTAGTAATCATATTGATACAGTTCCAGCTATGAATTCAACAAAATGAATATACCGAATGCTCATAGTTATAATAGAACTCCCAAATATCTTTAACTTACTAGAGAATTCTCTTGCTTAGCAGTGACTACTAAAGATATATCTAAATCTGATATGCTATAGTCCTCTAAAGCATAGAAAATTAGATGTTATTCTTTCTAAGTTATTCAGTATATATGAGATTCCACTATAAGATTTCTTTAAAGAGTAATATGGGCTGGGGATTTAGCTCAGTGATTCTACTGCCTGCCTCCCAAGCCCAGAGTTCGATCCCCCCATACAAAAAAAAAAAAAAGTAATCTACCATATTGTACTTAAATTTAAATCTATTTTTTTAAAAATTATACTCCCCTCCCCCACAAAACATAGCACACTAACACTTCACTATTTAGGATCTTTTTAATTAACAGACTTCATTAGCTTATTATTATAATTAGCACATCAAGTCTTAAAACCTGGTTCATTTAAATAACTGTTTATAGTCATACTGTCATAATTATCTCTATAAACATGTATTATTCCATGTATTAGAATAGGGTCCTATTAAAACTTGGAAAAGTAATTTAGATTTTTGGTTTCTTAAATAGAAAGTAGAAGGGACAAAGTTCCTATGATGAAAAAAATCTTAATAAAAGAAAACCACTGGCAAAAATTCATGCCTTTTAAATTCTAAAAGTTCTTTTAAGAGTTGATATCAATATGCATGAAATAATCTTAAAAATCAAGGGACTAAAGTCATGCTGTAGGCATTTAATTTCCTTGAGTTTATGGAAAATGAACTTGGTGTAGGTCAGAGATATTACCACTGCTTATTTTGCTATTTTATTGAGGAGCACATGTCTTTGTAGTTAAATTATAAAACCTGAGGGTCTACTCTCTAATTGTCTTTTTAAAAATAAACATTCATTTTTGTCTCAAGATACAATGTTGTAATTATTACAGTAATTTAAGTTTGAAGGGTTTCCAAAGCCTAACCAGAAAAATCTGCTAGATTTTTAACTCTAATCACTCAGGCAGGGGTCATGCTGAACACTTACATCTATTATCTAACAATCAAATCAGAATGAAAGCTGGCACCAAGTCCAGTTTTTGAATTGGATTAATTTTTATTTTAGTAAAATAGTGTGTTGTTACAGAGAATGTGAAAAATATGGAAAAGACTGATCTAGAACAGCAATATTGTTTTAGGCAAAGTACTTACCCATCCTAAACCTCACGTTCTTCCTCCACAAGATTGAAAAATAGATGTCAAACACTAAATGTTCCCTAGTGGGGACTAAATGCTTAGTAAACAAGTTATTAGTACTTTTCAGCTTGAGCAGTGTTTAACAGCTCACAAGGCTGTTCGGTCCTTTGTCCCTCCACTCACCCATTCTGTCAGTAGTGACTGGCTGTTCAGTCAGGGAAGGCACTGGGTAAGACAGGGAGTGAGGGGTAAAACACCTCCTCCACACCTCTCAGTCTCATGGGGACATGGATGTCAAAGTGAGTAATCAACAATCGCGTGATTACAACTGTGTAAGAGCTATGAAGAAAAATTCCAAAGGTTGGTAAGTGTGTTTGCCAGCGGCTACCTGTTCCTCAGGGTCTGGGAAATAATACTCAGTGCTGAAGAACACCATGGTGCATAATGGATCTTTATAGAATTTCTGGGATCCTGTATGTGACGCTATCGTTCTTTCTCTGCAGAGGAGGGAACCGAAACTCACCACATCTGCCCACATTCAGGGCAGGGGTTCAGAAGCCAAGAGCCTGAAAGCCTGTCTGTGCCTTCCTCTTGTCACACCTCACACTGCCTGCAGCGGGCTTAAAGGGCACGGCAGGGGATCCTTCCCACATCCAACAGCATCCAATGCAAGCTGCTCAATGCACCAACTAAAACATTTTGTTTTGCCAGATGAAAAATGGGTTTATTGATGACTGTTTAGATAAGTTTTAAAACCTTCATGAATATGATAATTCAGCGCATGTGATAAGGACAAGTAGGGCTTATGAGGGGTCAG